TATGTTTTGCCTGCATGTAAGTGTGCCACATGTGTGCAGTGCCCATAGAGACCAGAAGAGGGCACTGGATCCCCCGGAACTGGAATCTTTTCATGTGTGTAGTAATGAGAGATATATATATATATATATATATATATATATATATATATATATATATCCTTTGCCCCTCCCTCTACATGCAGCTACAGTCAACTGATTGGGTGAAGGGGTAACTGACTCCTCCCTCTACTCTTTGATGAGCATGCGAAGGAGGTGTTGACTATAGCTTGCTGGAATAGTGGTTGGAGGACATTTCCAGTTAACATTCCACTCCTTCCTTTGGCTCTTTAGATTCTTTCTGCCAACCTCTTCTGCAAAGTCCCTGAGCCTTGGAGGGGGTGGTAGGTGTGGGTGATCTTCCTCCTGTTGTGGCAAAGCACTGAACTTTCAAGTCTCTGTATCATCTGTATGAAATGTACTTTTAAAAGCATCTATTCTTGTCCTCTTTTTAGGAAGCCTACTGGCACAACTTAGAAATAGATCTCTAAATTTTGCTCTTGGTCATGGATATTGAATTCAGTTAACTCTCTTAACTGAGTGTTTGCTTTCCTGCTTTTTTTTGAGACGGAGTCTCCCTATAGCCCCAGCTGGCCTTGAACTCACTATGTAGACTAGGCTGGTCTCAAACTCACAGAGATCTGCCTGCCTCTGCCTCTCAAGTGCTGGGAGTAAAGGTGTGCGCCACAATGCCAGGCTTCTTTTCATTTTTGATATGTGGCAGAAAAAGGCCTGGAAACTATAACCACCATGTGACTGCTAAGTCATACAGCAGTCCTAGGACAAGCCCCAGATGCTGTAATGACCATGTGACTGCTAAGTCCTACAGCAGTCCCAGAACAAGCCCCAGATGCTGTAATGAACATGTGACTGCTAAGTCCTACAGCAGTTCTAGAAGGAGCCCCAGATGCTGTAACAATCATGTGACTATGTGACTGCTAAGTCATACAGCAGTCCTAGAACAAGCCCTGGATGCTGTAACGACCATGTCATTCAGCAGTCCTAGCAGGAAACTAGTAAAAACAAGTCACTTTATAGCCACGCTTTTAAAAAGCAGAAGGACAGAACTTCTTCCTAAGTCGTACTTACAGAATTTTTTAAACAGTCATCATCCACATCAAAATTTGATGTATCTGTTGGGCTACTAACTTCTGGGACATATGGCGCTTCACAGTTTCTAATGTTTTCCCAGTCGATTCCACTGAAAAACGGATGTTTCTTAAAGTCTTCTATTCCATTTTGGCCAAGTCGATGTTCTCTGCTACAAATGAGTCTTCGAATAAGATCCTTAGCATTTTCGGACACATCAGTCACTTGGGCTGGAAACTGAAACCTCTCCTGTAGATAAAATTGAAGTATAAAAATAAATCAGCAATTACCTTACAAAGTGCATAGGTAACATTTATTTTCTAAATATGTATTTCCTTTGAAAAATCATCTTATAAATGTATGCTGATACCCAGTGCCAATACAAAAAAAAGAGATATCGAATGAGAAAAGATCATTTTCCTAAAAGAACTTTTAATTCCATAAGCACCTTCATTATAAATGCACTACAAAAAGAACTAATACTATAAAATCTTAAACTGTTATTAAAATAATAAAGTGGACTGATTAAAAGTAGCAGAATTTGCTGGGCACAGTGGTACACACTTTTAGTCCCAGCACTTAGAAGGCAGAGGCAGGCAGATCTCTGTGAGTTTGAGACCAGCCTAGTCTTCATAGTGAGGTCCAGGCCAGCTGGGGCTACAGGGAGACCCTGTCTCAAAAAGACCAAAAAAAAAAAAAGTAGCAGAATTTAACTTAACATTTCAAAAGACCATAAATTATCAATAATGTTCATATATAATTCAAAATACTATCAGCTAATCATTAAACATTTTAAAAATTTTTTAACAGGTATCTGGTACCATTCAAACTGATTTACTCATTTAATCCTCACAATAAAATAATTACACTGGGTAGAAACTACTATTACAACAGTCTTATAGAAGAGGAAACCAAGGTACATAGAGTTCAAGTAACTTTCTCAAAATCACACAACTAGTAAATGACAGAAAAGGATCTTGAACTGAGCTGCCTCACTCCAGCCCCTGTGCTGTTAAGTGCTTACGGCACTGAGATGGCTTCTTTCTGAAGTGCTGTATGTGCCATTTCCAACCTTGCAGCTGTTTGCACTCTTTCATCTCTTCATAACTACTTACCAGCACTACCTTTGCAGTTGGGTAGATCACAAAGTGTATAACACTGGCATATGTAAAACAACTAGTCTTACTGCATCACCAGGACTAATAAAAAAGTAAAGACTGTCCTTTCCCTTGGGATATTCAGAATCATAATACAACTTCTGCAACTGCTCAAAATCCTCTGAAACTGGACATCATTAAAACTTTTCTTCTTGTTATGTAGCACTGTCTATGTGTTGTTCTAAGTGTTTCCATCAGGCAGACTTCTAAACCTGAAGTTGCCCCATCAAAAGCACTAATTAAGGCTCAAGGTGTATACCTGTAAACTTTTTTTAAATTACATCGTATTTATTTTTTACCATAATTTTATTTAATTTTTAATTTTTTTAAATTTAATAACCACATGATTAGAAAAAGCATTTCATAACAGCTTTAACATATTCAGTAACACATTCCAGAGCAAGGATACATCTCTTTCAAAGGTTGCTGTAAATTTTTAGGTTCACAGTTGAATTAATACAGTCATACAATATTGAACTCAGTACAAACCCCCAGAGAGGCCTGTGGGTCGTGCAGGTCCAGGGAAGCAGAAGGAGGTGAGGGCGGGGCCAGGCCCAGAGCACCTGTAAACTTCTTGACAGTTATAATTTATATTCCCATCAATAGTACCTTAAGAGTGCCCATGATACTGCATTATTTACAGTACAGAGTACAATTTTTCTTTTTGTCTTTCTCAGTTTGACAAGAGAAAGAATCTCATTAAAAAATTATTATTATTACTATTATTATTGTGAATGTATAGTTGGTTGGGGTAAGGATGTGTATGTGCCACTGCACACCTGTGAGGCCAAAGGACAATTTTGTGGAGCCAGTTCTCTCCTTCCATGTTTAAGTGGGTTTCAGGTATTGAACTCAGTCTCTAGGCTTACATGGCACACACCTTTTTCCATTGAGCTATCTTGCCAGCCAAAAGAATTTCATTTTTATCTTTATTTGCATTTATTACTACCAAGGTTGAGAAATTTTATACACATGCTAATCATGATTTTATGTATTATATAGTAAGAATTAACAGAACCTGTCTTCTTTTGAACTCTTATCTGGATAAATCAATTTATTATTACCATCTCTAAACAAAGTTCAAGAGAAAGTTAAAACTATTATCTCATTGAGTGATTATTAATGGTTGTCCCCTACAAACAAAAGAATATGAGTTCATTACTTTTAGAAATATTTCTTCTTTAATATCATATTACTTTAACTTAATCTATGTGTTATTTACCATAATAATTTGAAAAAGTAAAATATACTAACTTTGTGATTCATGATTTTTCCGTATGTCTCCACCAGAGATTCTGCATAGAAGGGTGTTTCTCCATAAAGCATTTCATACATACAGACCCCCAAAGACCACCAGTCACACTCAGGTCCATATCTGCCTTTTCCATCTTCCATAGCTTGAAGGATTTCAGGAGAAATATAATCTGGAGTCCCAACTGCCACTGAGGATTGGACCTGAAGAAGTTCATATTTTTATCAATTTACTATATTAGAAGAAAAAATTACACTTAAGATATACAATAGATAGTATTATCTTACAACTATGTTTTTTTGTCATCTGAATTTAGTCTCCTGGTATACAGAGTGATTTTTATGTGGTTTCTATATTAATGGTTTCCATAGTTCATATCCCAATAGAATCTTTATTACAGCTGAATACATTCAGGGGAATGGTATAATCACAGTCATTAACCACAAACTGGATATTTCATTTATAACATTATTATTTTTGTCTTCATTTGTTTTTTTAGGTCTTGCTGTGTATCTAAGGCTTGGCTCGAACTCACTATCCTCCTGCTTCAGCCTCCAAAGTTCTGGGATTATAGTACATTACCATACCCAGCTTTACTCTTGGTTTTAAATATTTATCTGTGCAACCAGATGACAGGACATATAGTTCAACATCCCTTGAAGAAAAAACAAATAGCTCTTTATAATTTTTAAAAACATAACAAAAAGATATTCTCAAGATAGAATGCCACTGTTAACATCTAGGAAAGACTCCAACATTGAGACAAGACTAAGGTTCAGTAACCCGAAAACTCTTCCATTACACTCCTAAAAATGTAATGATAACTTTCATAATATAACAAAGAACTCTAAAAGAGCTATTCTGAGGGGCCAGAATAGCTATCTCTAGTTGTTGGTAACTAGAGATAAACATTAGAGTTGGGATAGAATTGGAAAAATATTAGTTTTCATTATCTAGGTACTTACATTTTAAAATACACAAGGGAACAAAAAGAAAGGTACTGTATCTATATGAAGCAGAGAGACTGAAGCAGTCGCCTTATGCAACCTTTGCAGTAATTTATTTAAATGAGATAACCAGAAAACAGAAGGACATGAGTTGAAAGTGACAAGATAAAAAGATGTGTTATGCATAGAGCAAACAAAAGAAATGTAAAATTTAAGCAAATGTACTTTTTTTTTTTTCAGTCTTTTTTTGAGACAGGGTCTCCCTGTAGCCCCAGCTGCCCTGGAACTCGCTATATAGACCAGGCTGGCCTTGAACTCACAGAGATCCGCCTGCTTCTGCCTCCTGAGTGCTGGGATTAAAGGCATGTACCACCACGCCTGGCATCAAATACACTTTTAATAGAAAAAAGAAAAATGCAGAGCCACCAGAAGTTGAGCAAATGGAACACAAAACTTATGTAACCTAGAGCGCTGCCTGAAAAAAAGAATTCATTGTCCTCAGAGTAACTACAGAATTAGGAAAGAAAAAGTACACGTGAGGATGCAGTTGCATTCTTTTTTTCCAGGAGACTCATGCTTTTTACCACTCTAAAAAACGGGAGTATCTTAAGTACAGTAATAGGTTCCAGCCAAAGGAAGAACCAGCAAGGGTTTCGTAAGCATTTTTCTCAACATCACTAATACAAGCAGAAGAAATGACTTTCTAGGCAAGCCTTACTGTATAAACAGACCCGCCCAATGCTTTGTAGGAGACAGAGCAGAGACAAAATAACGGCTGCAAGGACATAGAAGGAAGGTATGGCAAGGGAAATATCTGTGGATAAAATAATGCTTAGTAATTCATGTTTATTTACCGTTCCATCTTCCATCAGCTTCAGACAAGACCCAAAATCTGCTAGACGAATATGTCCATTCATATCCATCAATATATTGTCAGGTTTAATATCTCTGCAAAAATAAACACACTCAATTTTTAGTTGGAAAATAAGTCACATGGTAAGATAGCCTTTTTGCCTGAAAAACTTCAACTTCTGTTAAAAGAAATGCTCTAAGAAAATCTATATAACTATTTTATAGGTTCTGTCCTAGCTGTCAGTCACATTAAAACATTCTCAGCATGTACAGTTTTAGTATTCTGGAAATAAAAGGTACTCTGATAATTTTCATTCTGGAAAGACATTTTCTGGGATAATGAAAACATTCTTGATTGGAAGGTGGTTACATAGGTATGTTGTTACTGCATGCTGTCAAAACCCATCACTGTATATTTTAGTATCTGTACATTTTATCCTATATAGGTACCTCAATTTTAAAACTGCCAGGGGACAGGTAGAACCCCCTGAAAACACAACACTGGAGTCACGTGGAGGGGATTGTCACTACAGATCTAATTTCTTTAAATATTCTTACTCATAAAATTTCTGCTTTTTTTTAGAGTATATTATGGTGGTTTGTATTTTTTTAGTAAAATATGTTATATCCACTTTTCAAGTTAAAATATAGTTATTTGGGGCTGGAGAGATGGCTCAGTGGTTAAGAGCACTGACTGTTTTTGCAGAGGACCCAGGTTCGAATCCTAGCACCCATATGGTAGCTAACAACCATCTATAACTCCAGTTCCAGGGGATCTGAAGCTCTCTTCTGTTCTCCTTGGGCACTGTACACATGGGTGCACTTATACACATGCGGGCATAACTTATATACATAAAATAATGAATCAAAAAATTTAAAGAATGTAATTATTCACAATTTTTTAAAATATGTATTTGTTGTTTCATTTCTAGTATTTTTTCCTTTATTTCTTTGTATCTTTTTTCCTCCCTTTGAAACAGTGTTTCACTCAGAAGCTTAGGCTCATCTGGAACTCACTGTGCAGTCCTGACTAGAACTCATGATAATCCTCCTGTCGAACACCAGGATGTGAGGACTGTAGGTGTGAACTACCACATTCATTATAAACCTCACAAGAAATGCTAACATTTTTGCTGTTAGCAGTCATATTTTGTGGAAAAAATTAGTGAGGAAAAAGCAAAAATGCAGTTTGTATTGTAGTGTCCGAATATTTATAAACTTCAGTGCCTTTCTGTAAAATGGTTCCTGAACTGCATTTAGCATCTCTTACATGCAGATATTCTGACAACACATTCTTTAAACCTAAAACTCTCTTTACTTTCCTTCTTAAAGGATATTTTCCAAATACAGAATTCTCAGTTGATGGTCTGTATTCTGTTTCCCACATTTTCTTTTTAATGATGTAAATACAGTACTCATGTATGAGATTTTCAATAAAATAAAAAAACAAGAAATATAAAAAAGTTATTACATTCATCTATCTATTCATGTGTGTGTGGGGGGGGTAGGTTCATGTGTGTGGGTGTGTATAAGCCACAGCATGCATGTGGAACCCAGAGGACAAAGAGCAGGAGTCAGTTCTGTACTTCTGCCACATGGATCCCAGGGATTGAATCCAGGTAGGTCATCAGGCCTGGCTGCAAACACCTTGACCTATTGAGCCATCTCACCGGCCCACTCCCACATTTTCTAGGAAAGTATCACTTCAGTGAAGCTGAGTATCAGTACAGAGCAGCTGTAGGTCACCTGCACATAACATGTCATTTGTTTCTTTGCTGCTTCCAAACTTCGCTGTTTTGAACCATTAGTGGTTTCATTAAAACAAACCTTAGCATGTTTCTTCATAATCATCTTTCCTTGTGTTTGATAAGCACCTCAAATATATAAATTTGTATCCACAAGAAGAAGCATCATTTTCTCAGATTTTTTTTCTGGCCCATTCTCCCCTTTCTGGATCTCAAAGTTCATGTGCAAAAAAATCTGAGTTCATGAACACATTCCTAAGATGTTACTGTTTTCATTTTCTCTCTTCACCTTCATGATTCCTATTGCTCTGATGCTGAATGTGCACTCTGCTGTCCCCATCACGCTGTTACATTCTTCCAGAGGAGTCTTTTCTTTCCAGATAGTTCTTTCATTTTTAGGATTTCCTTTTGCTGTTATTTTCTTGAGATACTAAGGATTAAAACCAGGGCCTCACATATGCTAGGCAAGTGCTGTCTCCAAGCTATATCCTCAGCTCTTCATTGGTTTTTGTAACAAAATTTTGTATATAAATTTCTGTTCAGATCTCCTATCTCCTCATCACTGTAAGTAGATTTCATTTAAACTTGGGCAAGAATTTTTAGAATTGCAACTTGGAAATTCATTTTTGCTAGTTTCTATACCTGAGTCATTTCAAGAAGAGTCTCAGTTGATATATTTTCTCCTGAATGTTGTATTTTCTTGTTTTTTAAAAATACTTTTGAAGCCAGGTGTGGTGGCACATGCCTGTAGTCCCAGCACTTGGGAGGCAGAGGCAGGTGGGTCTCTATGAGTTCAAGGCCAGCCTCATCTACACAGTGAGTTCCAGGCCAGCTGGGGGCACAGGGAGACCCTGTTTCAAAAAGAACAACAACAACAAAAATACTTTTGAGACTGGGCATGGTGGCACAGGCCTTTCGTCTCAGTACTCAGAGGCAAAGGCAGGTAAGTTTCTATGAGTTTGAGGCCAGCCTGGTTTAAATAGTGAGTTCCAGGTTATCCAACTACATGGTGTGACCCTGTCTCAAAACAAAACAAAAAACATTTTGAATGTTATCTTGAATATAATGAATGAAAATGAATGTTAAATATTGAAAACCTGGATTCTCCCTGCTCAACTACTGTCTGGTTTTGTGGTTTGCTTTCCTTTAGCTATATCAAGTGACTTTTCACATGTAAGCTGCACACCTAGTTTCTGGAACAAAAGTTTTGGTCTCATTTAACATCCTTTGTCTTTACCTAAGTGGATTTCAATCAGCAATGTGGGCACATTAACTTTGGGTCGAAAGAAGAAAAGGCAAGCATGGAAAATATACCTTCTTACTTAAAAAATATTTTCTTTATTATTGTTGTGGGATGGGAGTACATGCATGCCATGGAATGTGTGTGAAGGTCAGAGAAAACTTTTTGGAGTCAATTTTCTCCTTAAATCACTAATTGGTTCCAGGGACTGAATTAAGGTCAACAGACCTACACTGCAAGTACTTTTACCCACTGAGTCATCCCACTAGCCCTTCTTTACTTTTAAATATTCATTTAAATGTATTTTAATTGTGTGTATGCATGTGGGTATGTGCACATTAGTACAAGGTATCTGAGGAGGCCAGAAGAGGGCTTCAGAACCTTGGAACTGGAGTTACGAGTGATTGTCAGCCACTCAACTTGGGTGTTGGGAACTGAATCCAGGTCCTCTAAAAGAGCAGCAGCATGTGCTTTTAACCACGGAACCATCTTTCCATCCTCTCAAATATAATTTCTATCCTATTCTTCTTTGTTCCTTTCATATCTTGGCATTGATGTGTTTTATGCATTCTTATTTTAAATTAACTACACCCATTATAGAAATGGAAAATGGGGAAGATAGGGAGGGGGAGAAAAGGGAACAGCATGGTGGGAAGGAAGGAAGGAGAAACAGACTTAATTGATGATGAGGAAATAAAATCTAGTAAATAGTTAATGCAAAAATGACTGGAGTAACCTTTTGTGAGCTTATACAGAACTCACGATCTATATTACAAATGTCACATTAAGTATTCCTAAATATGATTTGACAAAAGGAGTGTTATATTGTAGTAACCTATTAACACCTCAAAACCCTTTGTCTAGGAGACACATAATAAACTAAATTCACCGAGCACAAAGGGAAATGTCATAGTCTATGCCTTTATGAACGACCAAATGCTCAATCATTACATTGTTTACACAAGTTCTCATTCACCTGTACTAGGGGATTTGATGTACAATGAAATGGGTCGACACTGTATCACAGCATGAGCTTTTAGAGGTCCCTTTAAATATGGAATTGCATGCCTTTCAACTGCAAAAAATAATATATCTAATCTTGGAACTCCTATTAAATGTTTTACCCTATCATCCCATGATCTACCACCCTCTCCAGCATCCCACATACTTGGTTCTTTTTCTATCTCCTAGGGAATTTCCTCAATTTTATTTCCAATAGTTCTGACAACTTTAAATATATTATCATAACTTTAATATGAAAAGTTTTTTTTAATTCTCTGAAGATCCTTCTTCTGAAACACATTGTTTCTTATATGTCACACGTCTTCTATGTCTCAGCATCAATGGTCATTTGGGGGTATAAATTTTCTTTTCCTTTACTTATCTTTTCCCCCAAACTTTTTTTCTTCCACTTATTTATTTTGGTATTAGATTTTGATTGCTTTTTATGTTAGGGGTTGAACCCAGGTCCTTTACTACTGAGCTACATGCACAGCCCCACAATCTTTAGATTTTAATCTTTTATTTTTTAAAAGATCTTAATTGATTTTATCTTGTGATTCCAGAATCAAGCAACCCTTTATTCCTTAAAAGGAAATAGTATACCAAAGAGTCTGAGGAGAAGAGGGTGGTTTTATAGAGAAATAAGTAAGAGTTCTGGAAGCTGGGAAGTCCACAATCAGAATGCCAGCTGTCTTCTAATTAAATCCTCAAATGCAGAGAACAAAAATATGTTATGCTTAAAATAATTTACAAGTTCTCACATATGTCAGAGGTAAAATAATTTACAAGTTCTCACATATGTCAGAGGTCCTTGGCTACTCCATTCACAAGAACAGGGTCTAGGAGGATTATGGGATGCTTTTATGGCTGAGTTATTTGGTTTAGCTATTTCCCTGAGAGAATATACAAACTTCACAGTTATTTTCCATTTATTCTGTTTAGAATTCCTCAGAAAAGAATCTCCCAATCTTCTGTCCAAGGAGTCAAAGCCTGACAATTAGCATTCTTAGGGCCAAATGGGAAGAGGAAAGAGGGGACTGTCTCCACATTTAACACATGAAATTAGCTGCTCTAGAAAGCCCACTGTATGTAAGTTTGTACACAGGTGG